TGTAGTAGCCAATATCGATATATTATATATTATACTATATACTAAGTTGATATAGTTTGATGTTGTTTCTCATAACCAATTTCTCCTGTAAAGCAATGGCGGTTTCTGTATTGCCCACACTCACCATTGCATGCAACCTTGGTCCTACTCGCTCATTTCCCCTGGAGGGCAGACGAGTGGGGGCCAGCCATATGAATGTAAAAGTCTGTCACTGAGTGATGAAGTTATGTTACATCATCGGCTGTTGCTCTTTAAAAAAAGAATAGGCACAACTGTGTTTTTGCTGTCAACATCGCCTCCGCAATCTATCAGCTGATCCTGTTCCTCAAAACATACCCAGTTTTTCTTTCTGTTTCTAGGCATACAAAATGTTAATTTTCTTGTTTAGGTGGTTTGGATAAAAAAAAGGAGCTCAGTCTGTGGGGACTTAACTTGGGAATTGAAGGGTTGCCGCCGGTTCAAGTACCAATCGGACAGAAAGTACGGTGTGGACTTGTTCCCTAGTGAAGTGCCAGTTCAAATAGTGGGCCCTGCTGAGGTGTCTTAAAACCATGTGTTTGTGCATTTGTGTATTCAGACGTAATGTGTATAGGTCCTATGCATGGACAGATGGAGCAATCTATAGACTCTACCTCCCTTGGCGTGTCCTCAGCAGGTCCTTAAGGGATCCCTTCTAGGTTTAGGTACCACTGATAATTGCTAATGACTAATGAGTCAAAGCCAATACCCCTCAAAGTGTTAAGTGTTCAAATTGTTACACAGTATTTCAAACATTCTAATAGGAGTATTAAACACTATCATTATGAGGACATTGCTATGTCTTCTGTCCATTTAACAAAAGAACAGCTGAACCTAATAGAAGAATCTTTTTTTTTTCCTCTGGGACAATGTCCTTCTATCATTTTAGCTTTTTGTGTATCTGGCGGGGACAATCCATTACTTCCTTAATTTCTAGAGTAGCTGCTTGTCCTATCAGAGGAAGTAAATGAGCCAAGCCTCCTTTCCACCAACTCCCTAATTTTGTATCCTTTCAGATCCAAGGGCCAATTTGAACAATAGTAATTGACACATTGATCTAATAGGGCCATCATAATAGGGCTGTTACTGAGCTGGGAAATGGTGCTCGGCGTCACCTTAACATGTGCAAGGACTGACATCCCTCCATGATCCATAATGATAATTGTGATTTAGCCTTGCTTTCAACCTACGCCCCAACGTCTCCGGCATCAGGAAATCTTATTACATCTGACCTTGTATTGCCTCCATTAGAACTGGGTCATTTTTTAAAATACTGCAAAAGCAAAACAATTGAACCCTGTGCCATTTTGATTCTATAATAGTGCGTTATCATGGTCGCTTTGAATCAATTCCAGAGGCCCATTTTTCGGGATAGAGCTTAGAATTAGATTGATCGGACACTGATAATGCTGAAATCGATGATACAGCCTCCTGAAAGTAAATTATCGTCGGCTGAAATGTTTGTATTAATCTTAATGTCTGTACTCCTGATTGATAATGGTAGCTGTGCTCGCAGCTCGGGGACCTTTGCAATGTTGACCGAGACGTTAAGCATGAGGACGAAAAATTAATCAAAACTTTTTTCTGTGGAACCTATTTTATATTATCCAGTTAACATTCGAAGAAATAAAGGGACGCACGCACGCACGCACGCACACACATATTCACATTCCTAGCATTTTGAGGGCTCACTCAGTTATGCTGCTGTCCAATATGATTTCTGTTGGTAAAGTCGATGCCAACAACAGAACAAGAGGCGTACTTTGCTTGAGATGTGTATGATGGTGAGGAACAACATGATGGACAGGAGTGATCCAGCAGCTTCTCTCAGGGGCATCATCAAGTAGCTGGAGGTGTTTCTACTGATATCTGGAACCTGAATATGACATACAAATAATTTGTTCAGGTCAGAAGGGGAGACAAATCTGCTTCCCCCTTTTCTGATACTCCGGGGACTCATATTTATGTTTAAAAGCCATGAAAAAGAGCATTTTGTTAATATGGAGCTTTAGTAAATTACTAAACTCTCATTAAAAAAAGACTGGAAGACATTGGATGATCAATTACAGACCACGTAGAAACATCATGGAAACGTTTGGAAGAATTTAGGGGTGGAAGGAAGAGGAAACAAACTTTGGAAAGGCTGGTTAATCTATCACATGGGTCCTCAACAGGGGTCCCGTGGCCCCTAGGGGGTCTTCAGAGTTAAAGGCTGCAAAAATACTGTTTGTGAATGTTAGGAAAATGTTAGCTTTTTGCAAGACACATTTATGATGGAGCTATTCTTAAAACATTTCTATTTTAGCTAAAGGTTCATTATTCAGAGCTTTTCCCATTGGAACACTTCCGTCTGACAAAGGCATTATGTCAAACATAACTATTCAATACGACTATTGCATTGGTGCTGTGGGTTGGGGGTGTTGCACTTTAGGCATCTGGTGGACAAATGAAGAAGCTGCTGTCATAATGAGTTGTAAGACATGAGAAAAAGTGTTTTATTGGTCCGTATAGATCTACTTTGGAGGCTTTCATTGTCTTGAACTTGGTTTTACACAAAAAGCGACACAATTGGTTGTGTAAAAAATGATTAAAGTGAGCTTAAGAGCGCCGTTTTAATAGAATTTACTTTCACACTTCTTCTACCTGGCCAATCCTGTTGCAAACATTTTTGTTAATATAACACTATCTCATGACTTTTTAAAGGTAACCTATTATGCAAAATCCACTTTTTCATGTCTTTTTTACACAAACATGTCCCCCCCCCTCTGTGTAAAGAGATTCTGAACGTTTCAGGGAAAAACAAATTGCTCTCTTTTTGTCCTGATCCATTTCTATAAAAACCTGTCTGAAAATGAGCTGATCAGATTTTGGCCACTTTATGATGTCATAACGATGTGTTGTCTTGTGTAATCATTAGCCAATCAGCAACCAAGGTAACCCCCCCCCCCCCCCCCCTTATCACCTGAATCTCCTCCTAGAGCACCATTGTGTTCTTTGTAACCAAATGTCTCTCAGAGGGGCGTGGGGAGGGGCTCCTTATTTTCATCTAAAGTAACAGACAGAGAATCAGCACTTTGGAAACAGGGCTGAAACAGAGGGGATTATGGGATGCTGCAATGATCTGTTGGGTATTTCGAGCCAAACACTTCAGAGACGTGTTTTGTGTATATCTGAGACCTATAATATATTGATGAAAAACAGTATAATAGGGGACCTTTAAAGTAGAATGCAAAAGCAGCTCTGTTATACTCAAACTGCCCTTTCACACCACTTTTTTCCTTTGGTTTTAACCATTGTTTGAAGGTGTTGACATTTTTGAATGGTAGAGGCAGATCTCTGTCTCACCATAAAGAGGAAAGGCTTTAAATCATATTTTAACAATACATTTTGATTGTTTTTTAATTTCATTTGGAGATCAACATTCTCTTATTTACACAATACAATTATTGTTGTCCCAGAGATTACACAGTATTGCCTTTGTATCTAACAATATAGTAGTATTCTATGCCAGGGGTGGCCAACCAATCAGAGGTAAAGAGCCAATCATTTTATTGTGTTACTGCAAAGAGCCACATCATACACACAGGCACACATGCTGGGTGTATGTCCCCGACCTCTCTCTCTCCTTCTCTCTTTTGCTCTCAGCCTTTCTGTGTGCCCCTCTCTATCTCTCACACATACACAATTACAATCTAAAAATGAACAATAATTGACACACACACACACACACACACACACACACACACACACACACACAAAAACACACCCTCTCACATACAGAAACACATACCTCCGCTCAGCCAGATTTCCTAAAAATGTCACAGTCCATGATATTGACAGAAATGGACTTAAACCTCTCCTACCAGTATTAAGACCAGAGGCCAGTTATTGTCAACCATTAATATTGTGTCTCACACAAACTCTCAGTTAAAAACATTTGAAAAAAGTAGTTATCTTACTATGCCTGTTGCTTCTTGAAATGTGCAGAGGATGTGGAAGGGGCTCAAATGCATGAAAGGGCACATCATTTAATAAAAAATATGCCTGGCCTTTATTCTGTCTGTATCTCACGCACACATTCATGACCGTCATTTACAAATAAATGAAGTGTGTTTTAGTTAATTCTCCTCACATGACATCTCAACTTGTACCTAACCCTCTGACTTACAGAAGCTCTGCTGACAGAGATGCACTTTCTCTCTTCTGTGTCAGCTGCCAGCTTTCCGGGAGCAGGCCTTCTCACATACACATATACATCTGCAAATTGTTACCATTTTGATTTGACAACATCATATTGAGTTATTACGGTTTTATCTGAGTTATATTTCTGCCGATCGGAAGCAGATCTCTCCCTTCACTGTCACATCGCGAGTGCAGTAAAGCCCGCCTCCAGTACTGCAGGATCTGCATTCTGATTGGCTAAAGCACTTCTTTGTTGAAAACTCTGTGTAACGATTGGGCTGGAACTTGTGTGTTGTTAACCCTTTGTGGACTGGGATACATATGCGCAAAAAACACAATTACAATTCGATATGAACTGAGGAGCCGCATGAGACTCGGCAAAGAGCCGCGGGTTGGCCACTCCTGTTCTATGCAAACAACAATTCAAATTTCAATTTCCAGATAATCGAAAATAGGTGATTTTTTTCCCCTTTAACTACAAGGCTCTGATCTGAGCATATACAACCCTATATAAAAACAGACAGACATTTATATAAAAATACAAGTCAAGCTTGCAGTGATGGGAGTTCTATTTTAATCTGATGTGTCGCCAGATATGGTAGAAATGTATTCTTGATAGAAAGATAGTCACATATGTAATTTTTGTTTGGAAGTGTATGGTTCGATGAAAAGAAAATTAGGGTCATTGTGTGCCGGTTATCTTTCATCACTAGTGTATTTATCCTGCCTTGTATCCATTTATTAACGGGACGAAGTCAATTATTCCGAGACCGACTTAAGCATTTTTTTTTGTTTTTCAGGACAAGCCCTCCCTACTGTTGCGTTGACCTGTATTCTCTACGGACGGGGGAAATGGTCAAATCAATTCAGTTCAAGACGCCCATCTATGATCTCAACTGCAACAAACAGTACGTCTGATTGTTAAATCAATACCCTGACATTTGAAATCAGCTTGTTTTTTTCTTTGTACTAATTGAATATTTTCTTCTATTTTAAGTATTCTTGTTGTGAGCCTACAAGAGAAGATTGCTGCCTTTGACAGCTGCACCTTCACGAAGAAGTTCTTTGTAACAAGTAAGACATTCTTTTTAACTTCAAGTGTTTTTATATCCAACTATATAGAAGTGTTCTTTGCTAACCAAAGTTTAGAAGCATCATTTTAAAAAAGTAATTTCGTTTTTGAGGAACGTTTTTGTGTCTGCGGATGTTCACCCACACCCCAATGGTGAATTATATACCCATGAACCATCACAATGTCATCACATGTAAAATATTTTTGTAGTGCCAATAGAAATGTATGTTTGTCGAATGTTGGTCCACATTGCACCCCAGTGTCCTGTACTGTATAAAGTAGCGAAAAGCAAACGACGCCAATCAATACCAGCATTACTCAACATGATCTGTGATTTGCCTTGAACTTGCTTATAATGTAACCAGCCCACTGCAGTGTGGTTCTTTTAAGCTTTGCCTGGTGACTCAACTGCTTTTATCAAAACAAGATGTGAGGTCCTCCATTGAAACTCGAAACAGCTTACAACACAGCTCTTGCATCTTCCTGGCTGTCCCTGCCATGTCCGCTCGAGGAGGCTGCGAAGGAAAGGCCAGACTGTATTACAAGGCCATTGCCGTCCACTTAAGTCATTGACTGTAGTAAACTGACCTTACTGGCTGCCTTTAATGTGTCTCCTCTTTGTCTGCCTGCCTTCCTTATCAGTGTCTGAGCCACAGGAAACCAAACATGCTCAATAGTTATTAATCGCTTCTGAATGCAGGGGCCTCCTCTCCATAACGTTGTTTGGTCTGTTTGACCCGTAAAAGCAGTACACAAAAGGTACTTTGATCAGCCATTCCTGTCTGTTTTTTCTCCAGGGATTTGATGGTGGACAAGTCCTGTTGTTCCGAGCACACAAGGCTTATCCTGTGGTGTGTGTGAGCTGTCCCTTTCTTTTTCTTTTGAGTCCACCCATCATGTCTGTTTCTTCTTCCCGCTTACCCCCCTGCTCTCCTTCCAGGATGTGAAACACGTTATCTCACCGCCTGTGCTCCCCTCGGCCTTGGAGACGCACAAAAGGCTTCTTTGGCTTTAGCAGCAGTCCTTGTGGCTAACCTCAACACACTTTTCCCCAACCGAACCCTTTCCCAACACAGCGCGCTAAATTGCTGACTCTACCTCATCTGCTCCCAGAGCACAGTAATTACCAGCAAACCATTTTCCCCACACCTCCACGCACTTACATTAGATATTCATGTCTGTGTGTTTTCGTCACAGTGGGAGCAATCAACATTTTTGGCCCTGTTTGTATCTGCTTGCATTGAAATAAGATATTTTATTTTAACCGATAATGTTTTCAGTTATTAAGAAGCAGATGTTTGCCTTCTTTTGGTTGATTCTATAATGCAGCAGAAGTGATAGATATCTTGATAGTTTGAGCTCAGCAATCCACACTATTGCGTTTTTTCAAAATGTATTGAGTGGTAAAAAAAACAAGAAAGAAATATAAAGTTGTTATAACGTCCACTACATTGAAATGTTAGGATTATTTGTTGCTATTTATATTTATGTTGGCACACACACACACACACACACACACACACACACACACACACACACACACACACACACACACACACACACACACATACACACACACGGGTTATCTGTGTGTGTGTGTGTGTGTCCACAGGGATTATTGTGTTAGTCTTTTAGCAGAGGAGCCATCCTCAATTTATTGGGTACCACAGTCTCCATTAGGTCATGCTGTTCAAACACACTCGACCACTGACACGTCACCCCTCCACTTTCATACACACACACACACTCACACACGCATACGCACACACACACAACATTAATGTGTTCTTCCAAACGTCATGCGTTTATTTACTAAAATGTAATTCTGTATGATGTATTATGCATTGGTTCCCCTTGTAGTACGACAATGCCAATCTTTGTGTCTTTTCAGGCTGCTACCCCTGTCCAGGCCCCAGCATAAATCCAATAGCTTTGGGAAGCCGCTGGCTAGCCTATGCTGAGAATAAGGTAATCTAAACACACACACACACACACACACACACACACACACACACACACACACACACACATACACACACACACACACACACACACACACATACACACACATACCACACACACACACACACACACACATACACACACATACACACACACACACACACACACACACACGCACACACACACACACACACACACACGCACACACACACACACACACACATGCACTGTGGAAGTGCCTTATCAGAAATGCGACATATTTACAATCCAAAAAATGCATTTTATCTGCCTCTAATCTGTGTGGATAAACAACTCATTCCAAAAAGAGTCCATGAGAGATGATAACATTTTGAAAATCAACAGATGCAAAGGAGTCCTGATCTCTTCCGCGTAATGGGATTGTTAAGTACTTACAAAAACTAGAATGCCTTAGTGCACAGTCTGTAATACAGAGAATGCATAATAGTGTTTTGGTGCTGGCCCACTCAAGTAATTGACAGCAGGGGCCACCGTTTGTGTGACTGCCTAAGGATTTCCAGAAATGACAAATCCAGTTTTTGGAGCAGTCAGAGTAATACTGGTATGGAGCCACTTCAGTGATATTAAATTAAATCAGTTCAGATTGGGTTTTTTGGTTGGGTAATGTTTCTTTTAAAGCAAACCCAATTTCCTGAGTTAATTTCCCCACATTTTTTATTTTCTTACATTTTTGGTAGATTTATTCTATTTATCTTGTATTAGTCTGTAAATTGTTCGATTCTTTTGCAGTTGATCCGGTGTCACCAGTCCCGTGGAGGAGCGTGCGGTGACAATGCACAGTCCTATACAGCTACAGTTATCAATGCTGCTAAAGTGAGTAACAATACCTACAACAAGTCTTAAAAAATAAATAAAATATTTTTTATTATTTTGTAATGGAATCTTATTAAATTCATGTATTCTAATTAAATTACATATTTTAAAATGTATTCTAATATTTTAACTTCGGGGCAGTTTCATGTTTATATCTTGGATTTTCTTTTTTTTTAATTAGCATTTTAGTATTTGGTAACAGTTTATACATAACACAATGAGATACAGTAAAAACTAAAATACGTGAAATAACTAATTAACAATCCATGAATCAGAAAAAGAGAATAAAAGACAGAAACAGAAAAAAAAGAAAACTGATTAAAAATATATTTAATGTTATACCTTACAAATAACGGATTTAATTAACGGTCATTAATAACGTTTTGTCTTTTATATATCACTAATTGTTCCCATCTTTCTTAAAAGATATGAACTTGATTTATTTTTCTCTCATTTTTGCCATTCCCTACATTTGATCTACTAGATTCTCATTTTACTACGTTTTTTGATCATTTTTGAAAGAGCATTATTGTTGAAAACCTGAGAACAAGGATTTCACTGCCAACGCATGCTTCAATATAATTGTTCTGCATATGGAAATAAAAAAAACTGAAGCAACCGCAACATGTTCCTAACCCTTGTCATCGCCATTTGCATTCAAAATGTTGGCATTTTCCCTGGATATCGTATGCAATTTCAGGACAAACATGGAGTTGGAAGCAAAACAGTCTGACACACACTTGTTATACTACAATTCGACACTGAAAGAAACCTACAATGTTTTTTTTACTGCTAATCCATCTTCATTGAAATGTATCCTTAAGAAAGTCAGAACAACTGTCTTCTAACTGGTTTGCTTTAATCTTAAAAGTTTGAAAATAAGTGTATATGTTCAGACTTTGGCTATAATCTGTCTACAGGTCCTTTGGTCTGTCTTAAAAGCCTTTGCGCAGATAAAACAGCACATAATACAGTATTTCTAGCTCCGCCCACGCCATCTGTAAATGTGCTGAGATTGGATCCACCTGGCCCGTCTGGCTGACTAGTGCCGAGCTTATGAGACACTTCATCAACCTGCCTATCTGTGTTTCCCAGTGGAATCTGTTTCCCTCCAATGGTCTTGTTTCACTCATCTCAACACGGGAGTGACTCTTATGCCGCATTCCCATTGCATGGTTTCGGCTCGAATCAACTCACTTTTAGTACCGAGCCCTGTTCTCAGTTTCATTTTCCACAATGGATATAGGCGTGATTCTCAGCTAATGGCCCTAGTGACGCCTGGGTATAACTTTGGTTATAGCATTTTCAACGCTACATTGGCTGAATATTGGCAACCAATCTGGGAACAGTCTGAACTTTGTTAATTGTATGGCTAAGCGTACGACTTAGTTTTACAGATTGACATTTTCAAAAGTGTGTGGTTAGTGAATAGTCGGCTATGGCTATTGACAGTAGCTTGGCTATTGAAACATGGTGGGTTTGAGCAAGATATGTTATGCTGATGTTGATTCTCTCTAGCCAATCAGTGGTCTTCAGTTAGTCAACTTCATCTTCTAATATCAGCTTGGAACTGCTACCAAAAGAGCATGTCATGCAGTGAAAATGTGGCGCAATGTATTAAAGTCTATGTAAGTTGCTTGGATAAAGACGTCAGCTGAATACCGTGATATAATAATGTAATAAAGAAGACCACTGTGTTGCTAACAGGTTAGTCTAATTGTTAGCGGTAGACAATGGTTGGGGGGTATTTATATTCAGACAGTAAGTCTGCTTGCCCACCCTCTCCTCATTTAGGACCATATATCTCAATAAGGATGACAAGGTATCTCCTTCTGGCTTGTGGCGCGACATGCTGGCTCTTAGTGCTGACGTCCAGAGACAGGAAAACACGGGGGGTGGGTAGCATTAAAGAGTAATGGCTTTTGTTTATAAGAAAGATACAATTGAGAGTGCGGCCAGTTGGACTGCTTGTTCTAAATTTGCTCTCTTTAATTTGTGTATCACATCAATGCTGTTGCCTGGCTCTCCTGGGTGTATCAGAGAGAAAGACCTTTCACATAAATTGGATTGTAATTTGTTTAGATGGCGACTTCAGGCCGTAGCTGTGTGTTTGTGTGTGTGTGATTGTTCATGTGTTTTTGTCAGCCATCAAATAAGAAATGCCTCCAGACCCTTCCCCCCCCTCCACTGGAAGATCAATAGCCCCTGTTTGGACTACCACTAAGAACTCCTCAACTGCAGTGATTAGAAAACACATTAGTGTTGATCAATTAGGAGCCAAACGTCTCACTTAATAATTGATGGCTCCTCTTGCATTTTACACGCACGCACGCACACACACAGAAATTGCCAGGCCAAGTGGCAAAGACAGACAGTGGGTGATCCTCAGACCCAACAAAAGCAAGGCGCCAAGCTGTATTGACAGGGCCGCCTGGTCTGAATGCCTGATTAGGCTCTCCGGGGCCCCTTTGGCGCTTACACACACACATACACACGGTCACACACATTGGACTCCATTAGACAAGACAGTGTAGTAGGTGAGATAGACTCCACTTAAGCAGCACTATCCATTTCCCTCAATCGAGCCACAGAGGTGTGTTTGAGCCAGACACCCTGGCTGGGCCTTAAACGGACACAGAGGAGCCTTACTAACACACACACACACACACACACACACACACACACACACACACACACACACACACACACACACACACACACACACACACACACACACACACACGGGATTGCACATTCACTTGGCAGCTCATTTTTTATTGCACCCAAAGCTTTCAAACTAAGTGACCTCCAAAATGCAATTTATAACATGTGTTCCGAATATTTAATATTTGACATTAGGTGTTAGATTTTTAAGCCTCTGTACTTTCTTTTTTTTCTTTCAGACTTTAAAGACAGGCCTGACAATGGTGGGTAAAGTTGTCACGCAGTTGGCAGGCACCATTCCAGCAGGTACTCCGGATGAGGAGGGCACACCTCACAGTGTGATCCGCCGCGGCCCCCACAACCCAGGGGTGGTCACCATCGTCGACACACATAGTGTTGGCGAAGGACAGGTCAGTCAAGTGTATAATTTAATAATACTGGTACTGTTCACCGTGATTTTGTTGGTTGAATTGTCATTGACACTTTATAATTTCGTACTGTCAAAAATACAACATTTTTATCACGATATTGACACGGCCAATGAACTATATCAAAAGTCTCTTCCACATCAGGTAAAACTGCCAGATTTGGTATTTCATTTTGTCTCTGTGATATCAACAGTGATGTCCAGAGGCCTAATGTAATCAGGTTTTCCGTCCGTCTGTCCCATTCTCTTGAATACGATATTTTAGGAACGCCTTCAGGGAATTTGTCAATATTCCGCACAGACGTCAACTTAGAATCATGGACCAGGTGTTTAGATTTTGGTGTTCAAAGGTCCAGGACTGTGACCTGACATCTGTCCCAGTCTTATGAACCATAATTTAGAAACACCCTAAGGGAACATAATCAAATAAAATCTGTGTTAAGAAGACAAATTAGCCAGTATTGATGATTCATATACATATACATATAGATAAAGATACACCTAAACACACATAACATAAACAAAAGCTATGATTGAAATATATTGATTTCTAAACCAACCCTGAGTAACAAATTACTGTTGTTTAAACAATTAAAATTATCTTGGGTTCTGTGCATTATTCAATGTTATTTTGACCACATATAAAAAAAAAAAAATGCCAAAAAAATCTTTAAATTACAATATTGTTATTCAAAATGTGTGAAGAATTGTAACAGAGGTTTAGAGTATAAAACACAAATGTTTATATTATATTAAACTGACATATTTTTTTGTTGGTTTCCGTTTTTTTCTGGAACTAACACACACATAACCAAAACTAAATTGGCACCAATTTTGTATTGGCTATTTGCCTCTTGGATGTTGTAATGTGTGACCCTGGTAAACATGACTTTGGCCACTGCGGGTTTATTTGAAACAGGAAATCCAAGGTTTTTTTTTTTTTGTGGCTTGGACCCTTAGGTTTAGGTGAATGGGTCCATGCACCTAAACCCGCACAACTTGATGAAAGGCGTGACTTATATTTGCTGCATGTAAACACTCTGTGGGTCTGTATATATACTTTTCACCTCAAAATTTCAAGTAGTGAATAGAGGAGGGTTACATTACCTAAAACGATGTTATATACATGTACAGGGTCCAGTCTTTGTTCTTTGAAATCAAAATGTTCAACTCTTTGGATTAACATTATATATTAATGCCATTTGACATTTGACCAATTTGGCAAAAAGCTACCAAGATTTTAAGAATATAATAGTTATAATATAAACTTAATACTATTTTTTTTTTTTATTAAAAAAGTATTTTCTCGGCATAATGTTTGATAAAAGTATCAAATATTTAATGACACATTTTTCTTAGATTGGTTGATGCTGGTTATTTCTCAATTTTTTTTGCAAAGTGGTAAACTGTAATCTACAAAAAAGGCGGATTAGCTCCATTTGGATGTATGGCCCTTAAACATCCTTCTGCACAGACCCAACGAGGTACATATACCAGGATACAGAAAGTTTACACACTAAAATATAGAACCAGTCCAGTTACCTTTAACAGGATCTCGTTTTAACATCTAAAGACATGCTAAAAGCTTGTATCCACTTTACCATGATTAATCACACTGCAGTAGCTGTCATGTTTTAATGAGGTGTGTAAGCATACACAGTACAGTTTGTCAGTGATGTGGTCACCACACACACATTTACTGCTTATTCCTTCTCTCTTACACATTGACTGTGGCCCCACTGTAGTCATGGAGTATGTTGTCTTATAAGCTGAACCTAAGCCTTCAGAAGCAGGCCTGCACTTTGTCAGCAGCCGACACACCGTAACCGTACACTGGCCATAAACACTGACTGGGCCTGGCTAGCACGGAGGGAAAAGCTTCAAGCGGAAGATAAATGTACAGTAGAGGGAGAGGAATCAGAGGGTGGGCTGGCAATGGAGAGTAAATGAAGATTGAGGTTGGGGTGTGATAGTTAGAGAAATGGTAAAAGGCAGGAATATAATAGAGATTGGTTTCTGTCAGTGTGGCAGTCCAGGCTATTCTCATGTCTTTCAGGCTTTAAAATGCCACTTTTGTAACAGCAGAATCATAACCCGTTTTCAATTAAGGTGGTTCCTAGCCGGTTCCTAGCCGATTCTGATTCTCTTTGGTGCTACCACTTGAGTAGCCCTGGTTATCAGCCCCACAAATTAGATCAACTCCGGCCTAAACTATCTTCTTGGCCAACACCAAGAACCAAGAGCAGCGTATGTCGGAAGCTCACGTCCAAGGCTTGGGCAAGGTTAGCCTAACAGATCAAATGTCATGGCGAGTACTGCAAAGAGTAGAAAGTTGTTACAGTAGCCAATTGCGAGAAAAAAAATGTGCGTTTCCACTTGAGTAGCCCTGGTTCACCGTCCCCTGAAATTGGTTCAACTCGGGCCCCAACTATCTTTTCTGCCAACACCAAGAACCAAGAGTATGTCAGAGGCTCACGTACGAGGCTAGGGCAAGATTAGACTGAAAAATAATAGTTCATGGAGAGTACCTGAAAGAGTAGAAAGTGTTACAGTAGCAGCAGCACAGAGAACGCAAAGAGGTCAAAACGCAACCACACACACATATATAGAAACATCATGAGACATTAACCAGGCATATGCACGACATAATCATTATTTTCCACCATACTTTTAATCACCACCTGTTTTCTGTCATTGGCCTTTTTGAACAGCAATATACCACCCTGCTTATATATAATATTCTGTATATATATATATAAGCCATTTTTCTGTTTTTTTAATATACCAGCTGTCGGCTGTAATAAATTCATACACAGGTTGTTTTGTTGGTTTGCAGTTGGTTTAACCAAATTAGCACCAGCACAGGACAAGAACAAAACTCAGTTCAGTGAGAAATTGCTGAAACAGTCACAAACACTCTCCGATTCGTAATGTTTCTCTGGTGGACCCTCTATTGTATTGGTATTGTCTACCTGAAATGTTATAAAAGTGTCCTGTTCTTTCTTCCTTCCTTTTTTATCTTGCTTGCTTGTCTGAGACCAAGCCCTAAAGAGGCTCATTCTTGTTTGGTCCATTTTCCTATTTAAAATGCTCAGCCGTCCTCCATAACATCGTTTATGCAACACTGGATCCAGGTTTAACCTTGTGTATATGCTTTCTCTGAAACAGGCACAAAATACACACATGAGAAAATCGAATTTGTCCAAACTCTTGTCTCTGTTTTACCCGGTTCACACTGGTTTTAGTACAGCCTCTTAATGAAGCATTAATAATCAAAAAATAGCTCAGCTTTTGATGATTCCTAATTCCTTTCATGCAGCACAAAGAAACATATTTGGAAAAAGTGCGTATTTGTCTTGCCTTTGTTTCTTACAAAGGTAATATTTAATTATTTTCTATCCACAAGAGGGCAATGACTCATTCAGAAAGGAGTTTAACTTTCAGCTATTTCACCAAAGGGTGATGTCAAAGAACACTGCTGAGTGTGGTGGTGATATCAGAATAAACTCAAATGTGAAGATACATCCTTGGGTAAGGGAAAGTCCCATTTTGGGTTGAATGTTCTTATTGTTTGAAAAAGAGTTTCAGTGTGTTTTTGCGTGTGTGTGTGTGTGTGTGTGTGTATTTACTTCAGGTCTTGGTGAGTGAGGAGTCGGACGGAGAGGGAGTGGTGGCTCACTTCCCAGCTCATGACAAACCCATATCCTGCATGCAATTCAACCCCAGCGGTAAGACACTCACACACACGCACACATTTATTTCTGAGGAAGGACTCTTTACAAGTTCAGACAAGGCAGGAGAGGAATTACGCTTCCATTTAAGTGTAAAATGATGTTTGTTTGATTCACATGAGTCTTTATCTAGTCTCCTAAGTGGTCCTGAACTAGCCAACTCCCACACATGTATTTATCTGGGTGTATTCATACTCTATTATTCACAATGAACATGCATTTAGCCTGAGTTTCCCCAACTTATCCCTTTGCACAAATCTTAAAGGGGCCCTTTGATCATTTTCAGGTTCCTATTTGTAGTTATGTCACTATGTTACGGAAGTAAACAAAGGAGTCTAATGGAGGCGTTTCAGGAACGGGGGGAGAGTGTGGAAGAGGGACTTTTAGATTTGTTGCCTTTGTAAACCATTTACATGCACACAAAAACATATACAACACACCACAGGAAAGGGTAAACCCCCAAAAGCCTAATAGGGACTCTTTAAGGTTAGGTTTCTTAATTCAACACAACACAAAAGTAAGATGACTTTTCTTTTTTTACTTTATGCCGTTGGAATCTACAAGTTCATGAATCAGTGTCTGAAGGCAGCTTTAATGTTTACATTTTAGACTCACCTCTCATCGTAGTATTTTACTCTAACATTTCCCTTAACCCTTTGGAGTCGACCGTCACGCCGGCGTGATCAGATCACATGACCTGTTCAAGCCGGTGCCGCATAAAAACAACAGTCCTGACAACATTGCCGTGTGTTTCTGTCGAAAGTACTGTCTTGAAACTATATCCCAGTCTTTGTTTCATGCAAAAAGACCCAGTAAACACGGAGATACGATGATATAAAGTTAATACATTTCAAAAGTATGAAAAATGGAAGCACATATTTGAATATCTTCGCCGTATTTGTTCATTTTACGAAACGGAAAATACTGGAAACTGTAGATCCTGCTTAACAGGATGTATATGTGTATTTCTGTCGAAAGTACTGGCTTGAAACTATATGCCAGTCTTTGTTTCATGCAAAAAGACCCAATCAACACGGAGAGACGATGATATAAAGTTAATACAAATATATTTAAAAAGTATGAATAATGGAAGCACATATTTTAATATCTTCGCCGTATTTGATAATTTTACGAAACGGAAAATACTGGAAACTGTAGATTCTGCTCAACAGGATGTATTTACCAGGGAGGGGGTGAGGTAATCAGGTAAACGGAGTAATACGAAACGAGACGAAAAGAGACGAAGAGGGACGGCGGGAACCGAAGAGAGACGGCGGGAAATGAGAGAGACGAAGATATACGAAGACAGGCGGCGGGAGACGAAGAGAGACGGCGGGAGACTGCGATTGAAGCAAAGTGACAGACAAACATTGAGAATTTAGATATAGTTAGATAGATTTAGAGTTTTGAAGATTCAACTATGATGAAGAGAACTCTGAACGTGAGTCAAGCTTTAAGCTTGTTTTTTGACATGGAGGAGGAGGAACCTGTGATGTTGCCCTCTGTGTCGTAGTTGACAGAAACCGCTTTGAAGCGTGGCACAGATAAAGACAGAAAAAACAGATTTTTGTACATAATGTGTATATATATATTTGTATTATATTTATAATAACACTTTTGCCTTATCAGAATGAAATCACATGTACATTATTTAAGCTTCTAATTGTTTTGTTGTGCCTACTGTGTCACTGTTGACAGAACTTGAGAAATGAGGAAAAAAAGCCTATGGATACACCTGTTATTTGTTCATAAAATGTGTATATAGGTTCATGCTACCTCAATCAAACTTTCACATTATCATAGTGACATCCCATGTATATATTTCCAGCTTTCAAATGGTTTCGTTGTGTATGTTTGTGTTACCTATATGAAAAATAATATCATTTTCAAAATCTGTTTTTACATTTTTTTGTGATTTTGGGTCCAAAATGTTCATAAAGTATCTCAAAATGACAGACATAACTATCAGGTTATATAGGTGAGGTTGTCCTTGAAAAAAAGATACCAAACATTGACATGCCAAACATTTCTTAATGGGGTTTAGTAAGACAAATCAAAAGTATGCGAAAACGGCCAAATTAGCCCTGGACTCCAAAGGGTTAATAAAAGCTATCTTGTAAAACTATAAATGAGCTTGTGAATGTTCCTGTTACTCCTTTGGTGTGTATGTGTGTATGCTTGTGTGCGTGTGTGTTTGTGTGTTCATGTATTTTATGCTCTGTGCTGTGTGTGTATGTGCTGTTAATAATGGAGCTGATGAGAGATGGCTCTCACTCCTTGACCTCCAAGCCCCAAAAATCCTTCGAGACTTATGGCTAAACTCTGCAGCTCTTTATGAAAAGGAACAGGATGATATTGCAGACAAATTAAGACAGGACATGGTAGTCCTTTCAGCAGGAAGTAAACATGATATCTACAAAAAAGCCTTGCTTAATAAAAAAGAAAAAACCTAGTGCTAAACATTTAAAAAACTGATTGTGATATGAACAGCTGTGGAATGTGCCACTCAGCATTTATGCTTTATACCTCCCCCTTTCATAGCTGTTACTAAAATAAAGGCACTTAAAAAAAAGAAGAAACGTGCAAAAAAAATTAAAACCAAAAAGTCGTAGGAAACATTTAAAAAGAAAACCGTGCAAGTAGAAACCATCAAAACAGCATACAATGATTACACATTTTAACTTGGAGTAAATCATTCTTGATTCCAATCTTTTATCAGTGAGTTAGTGTATTACACATGTTCTCTATATGGTATTACAAGCTCTACTGAACATGACTCATGACTTTTCTGGTTGCAAGGCCAGCATCAATAGCAACTGTAATTTTGTCCACAATATGAATATATAACCACAAAACTATAGGTTTAGTCCATTTAAAAAGTGCTGTTCAGTTGTCAGTGAAAGTATTTAGGGAGTGTGCCGTCGAAGATGATGTCATGGCTGTTTCATGCAGCATCGTTACACTGATCAGCTGAGAATCCGGCAAAAAAAAGCACCTATTACCAAAAGTGTTGAGTTAAGCAGAGGCGTAACATGCATTAGGAACTTGCTTAATGTGTGTGTTTGGAATCAGCAATATTTGAATCTGTAGGAGCCATTTCCTTAGATTATATTATTTTATCTTTTTAGAGTACATAATCTGAGATTCTGTGGTGTATATTATTTATTATTTAATTTGAGTGCGTTACTCTGCAGGTCGAGATGCTGCAGCATAAAAGGAGAGGTGCTGCATCCTACTGGTGTGGCTGACTGAAGCAAACAGTTTTTAGACCTTGCTGGTTGGGAGCGTCACAGCACAAATAGTTTGTTTAAAAACGTTTATTTATTTTTGCCTTTTTTGGAATAAACTATCTTAATTTTCAATCGCATCTGGACATTTATATTTGTTTCTCTCAAACTACAAGTGTCTACTCGTCGGTCAGCCCCACGAGTGAATCACAAACAAAGGACAAAAAACAAATGGATATCGTGGTCACTACAGTCTAAAAACTTGCTTTTGGATAAAAAAAAACGGAGGAAAAGTTTGTGAAGGAACAGCGGCATCCAGACAAAGGAACAATGGAGACTGCGCGAACCAGGAAACGCCACAGGGGTGAATAAAGTTCAGAAGTCTCAAAAGTGTACAAATTGTGGAAAGAACTGGATGGATTGGAACTATTCCGTTAAGGAAGACGTATATCTTAATTAAGTTGCACTTTTGGAGTGATTTTGTTGGACATTGAAACGGAATTATTTAATTTGGATATCCGCTGTGTAATATAATTAATGAACGGCGCAAGCAGACACACTACGGCATTGAACTATTTGAAAATAACTTTCTAAAGTGTGCCGATTCATAAATGCTGATATAAAAGTGAAAAATAATCAGTAAAATGAATGACAAGGAACTGATTGGAGCAGCTGTGGCAAATCTGAGTCAAACTGAAACCCAAGTGGAGGGGGATGATGTTTCAAGCCTGCGTTTATCCAGACAAGCCAGATTGGGACATCTTACGTGCAGAAGCAACATTATCAAGGAGCTAACGGAGGACCGCATGAATGCAGATGAAGTGCAGGAGAATATGGTCAAATATAATGCTTTGACGGAAAGTTTTAAAGACTCACACTTGTCATATCACATACTTTTAAACGAAGAAGAAGAAAAACGTGAGAGTGAAGCTTGGTTTCAATCAAAATTGACTAGCATTGAAGAGTTTATTATTTTTGTGACAAGATGGCTGTCTGAGTATGCAACAGGAAAGGAGGATTCTCTTTGGGAAAGTGTGTCTGGAGTCTCCAAAAGATCTCAAAGAAGTGAACAAAGAAGTGAACGTTCATCAAGTTCATCTGCTCGCATCTGTGCAGAAGCAGAGAAAGCTGCGCTAATGGCAAAACTAACTTCATTAAGGACCAGGCATGCTTTGGAGGAGGAGGAGCACGAGCTACATAGAAGAAGGGAGCAACTAAGGAAAATAAAGGAAACTTTGGAGCTGCAATCCCAGTTAGAAGCTACTGATGCTAAAATCTCTGTATTCAACATTCTGGAAACTCAAGACAAACAGCCAACAGTGGATGGAATGAACGAATATTATGAACAAAGAAAACAAAAGGATGTAATCTCTGCAAAGGAAGAGGATTACACAAAGGATGAAAGAGTGGATATACAAGGTGTGCGACCAAAGGAAGGACTCCAGTATGGATACTCACTGCACGATCCTGCTCGAGGAAAGTCAAAGGCATCACAAAACCCCACTTTGAAACCAACACAATCAGAGACACAACTCTGTACAGCATATTACAAAAACAGAATGACATTACTGCCTCTCTAGTTCTGCAACAACACCATTCATTGTTACCCCAAAAGGACATAAAGGTCTTTGAAGGAGATCCAGTTGAATACCGATCCTTTCTAAGGGCCTTTGAGCATGCCATTGAAGCTAAGGGTGCGTTCACACCTGCCTTGTATAGTCCGGTTGAATCGAACCCTGGTGCATTTAGCCGCTTGGTGCGGTTCATTTG